ATATCGCAAAATAATTTTAAATTGAGCATATCTTTAGAATTTCCGATATGCAGTCTCAGGCGCTGGAAATAAAAATGTTTTTTTTCCGTACAACGTTGCCATTGCTCGCTTTGAAATCCTTGAGTTTGTTAATCAAAAATTCGTTAAAGATTTACAAAATATGAAATCGATAATAAAACAAATTCCAAATTTCAAATTTTGTCTTCCACATGCCCATATTTGCAGTACGATTACGTCATTAAAAATTAGGTGGCTCTAGGTACCGTTGTTTTATCACAATGCGAGAAACATACATACGTTTATGCAGATTCTTTATTTAATTTCTTTAAATGTAACGCAGGGTTATAATATTTGGTGGCAACAGTTTGAAAAGTGCAACGGACACTCAGAGTGATTCGACGCAAAATCGCTAAGCGAAAAAAATAGTTCTTCAGGGACAAAAGCCCCTTTGGACTAAAAAGAAGAAAAGGAAATGTTGTCTTTAGTTTGCATAAGAATCACTAACTGAACTGAAATAAGAATTATCGTTTTAGGGATTAAATGGGCATAGAATCTCCAGCATTATGGGTTTAGTGCAGACACACTGAAAACTATTCAAATGACTTTTCTGCCAGCGCACGAAGAATTTTACCATTTGTTCATTTATTACAAAATTTTTATTACAAAATTGACGGCTAGAATTTGAGACAGAACTATTGTTGAATTTGAAATTTCAAAATGAGATAATATTCAAATGTACAAAGTTTTTTTATTTTAAATATTAAAATGCTTCATTTAAAAAACCAATTTAGATGTTTTACAGTAGACAATTTTATTTCAGTTATGAAATAAGGTATGATGTACCAAGCTCTTTTTTTCTTAATGGATTATTATATTTTTTAATATATGAACACACATAGTCTGATTTTAAAATTTCCCAAGAATGAGTACTGGAAAATCTCAGGAGGGAAAAAGCTGCATATTTCAAAAGCTTTAAGCATTAACTGTTGAGTTGTTTTTAATTCTGTATAAAGCACATTCAGTAGTTCTTTTAAAACGGAGATGAAATTTTAATGCAAAAACGCCACCTACATGTTTTCGCTGCCTTGGTCGAATCCTGCCCTTATTACCTACTCAAGCAAAGTTCTTTTCTAAAACGTATTTAATATTACGTTATTTTGCATAAAACTATTTAAATATTAAACTGGAGAATGGTTTTTCTCGTTTAAAAGAACACTACATTCTTTCACACATAGTTAGGGAAAACAACATAGCATTTATACTTTGTACAAAACAACTCTCAAAATAATTGCAGTGCTTCGCGAAATTTCGCCGCCATTTACACATTTTGTCACGCAGAGAATGTTTTTTTGCAAATATTAAAGATGTTGGAGGGAGGAAGTTGCTTTGCTGGAAGATGGCAAAAGCTAAAAAAAAAAAAAAAAAAAAAGAGCCTCCGTGGATTTGCTTTAAAAATAAAAATAAACTTTGCCATACATTTCGCTTCCGGATGAGAAATAAAAAGGGTGGTAAATGTTGTTAATTTATATGGCTTAATTTCATACATATAAATAATAATACATGATTTAGAATGTACCGCATGCATCAGATAATAATATCGCACATGCGGTATAATTCATATGAATATTTTGTAATGGCCTTACAAATGGATAAATGTGATAATAATATAGGCAGTACTGTCTTGGATAATGGATTCTAAAATCCAAGACATACTGCTATTACATATTAAACCGCAAATAATATTAGACACTTAATACGGGTAATATAGAACGGGACATCAGAAATTCACCACTGGTCGTGCAGATACAGTTCCGCCGCACTAACTGTACAATTCCACTCAAATTTTGTTGAGGGAGGGCGGCAGCGGGGAGCGATCCAATTGTCTCCCACGTCTCTTTCCTTACCATCAACCTCTCGAGAGGACTTTTAGCTCGCCGTGTAGTTTGAGTGCCCCCTTGACGAACAGACTCTTACAAACATCCATGCATTCTTTGGGATTCGACCCTGGCCCATCTGTACTGTAGTCAATATCATTAACCACTATAACCGGCTCGGCAGCACTAGACAGTACGTAAGACTTTAATCTTTAACTGCATGAACTCTATTTGTGTTCCAGCAAGTGTCATCAGTATTCTACCTACTTATTCATCAGTATTCTGACTTTCCTTCTCACTGTAGCTACTTTTAATTGCATTGTATATTAGTTTCTGCACTTTTGGCATTTCGCATATATTTATTGCCAACTGCACAATATTACAATTACATTATTCCCTGGCTTTCTACATGAAGCAGTTCAGAGTGTCATGATATTTATTATGGCCATTCTAAATTCTTGCAGCATTATTTTCATACTATATGCATTCTCAGAGTCAGATTTAGACTTGATAAGGCCCTAAGCTAGTTGAGATCTGGGGCCCTTTATAAGTCTGTTATAATATATTAATATATTTTAATACTATTTATACTATATTTTAATTTGGGGGGCTAAGCTATAGCTTGTGTAGCTTATACGTAAATCTGGCCCTGTGCATTCTTATTTTCTATATACAACCCATATATGTATATGATGAAGGATATTTTTGAGGATTACATAGATGCACGATCATAGGACTTGTGCATGAAATTGTAGCTGCAATCATGGCTGGTTATTTTCTGTTGACAAATTATTCTTGAAGCAGTAAACAGGCATAGATCTCCCCCCTCCTCCAACACATTCACAGAATTAAATATAGCAAAAGAAATGAAGCAGTAACAAAAAAAAACAAAAACAAAAAAAAAAAAAAAATATTAGTAGCATAGGAAGTAAGAGAAGAACTGCATAGATTCTAATTTAATACAACATTTGGAATATGGAAATTATGTTTCTGCTTTTCATCTCCAACTTTACCTCCTGCTGTATACTAAGACTAAGATTTATATCTGTTACTTGGTAAAGATTTTGAAAATTAATATAATATTACGGGTTGATAAATTTTAAAAGTATTTGAGTCATGAGCATTAAAGATCATATAACAAGTAAAAGTTTGTTATATGATCTTTACATATAATGTATGTAAACATTATATAACAAGAATTAAATTTCAAAATGACACAGTTTAGAGAGGAATAATCATCTTATTTTTAAGATAGAAAGAGGAAATAACCACAGTAAATAGGAGATTGTTACAAATAAATATAAGGATTTCGTTTGATAAATTCATTATGCTACGTATCTCCTTCTCTTCAAAGAAAAATGTATATAAGAAAATACTTTCTTCTTTTTAGGAGAAATGTGTTAAAAAGGTGAAGAAAAGTATTATCCTATGGAAAATGCAAAACATTTTAAACTGAATAACAATTTCTAATAAGACAGAATCTAAATTGAGTATTATACTGTATAACAATTAAAAAAAAAGATCGATGCACCAAGAAGAAATCATCTGATTTCTTTGAAATTTCGTATGCATAAATGTTTTGACCAAATATGCAAATGATTAAAATTTGGTATCCAATGAATGAATACTGTGCTCTCCAGTGCATCCAGCAGATGTATATAAGGAGCTGTTCTTGAACTGTTGTTAAAAATTTCTTTTGCATTGCGATTTCAGATACCTTTCAACAACTGAAAAAATGGCTCGCTGCAGGATTCGAGCTTATTACAAGCAGCTGTCTGAGTTTGAAAGAGGTCGTATCATTGGATTGAAAGAGGCAGGTTGGGCAAATCGGAGAATTGCTCATCATATGAGTCGAAGCAATGCGCCGATTAGAAGATGCTGGCAAGAATGGGTGGACAATGGCAGATTTCAGCATCATGATAGTAGCAGTTGACCTAGGGCCACAAACAGATTGGGGAGGATAGATTGATGTGTTAGACCAGCTGTCACAGTGCCTGATTCATCACTATCACCCATCAAACATGCGACCCGCACACAAGTGTCCACCATAACCATTCACATACGACTGATAGAGCGAAGTCTACGCTCGTATTGACCGTTACGCCACCTGCCAATCACACCTGCACATTGTCGAACCAGATTACAGTGGTGCTTGGCTCGATCAAGTTCGAATGATGCTGACTGGAGACGTATAATATTTAGCGATGAATCCCACTTCCAAATGTGTTGTGACGATCATCGAAGACATTTCTGGAGACACCCAGAGCAGCATGTCGAACCTACTTTCACAGTTGCACACCACATAGACCCTCAACTAGGAGTTATAGTCTGGGGTGCCATTTCTCTTGATAGTCGGACCCCTTTGGTTGTCATTAGACGCACACTTACGGCACAGCAATATGTTGACGACAATCTGAGACCTGTTTTGTTACTGTTCTTTTTGCAGTATCCTGGCCTTATTTTTCAGCAAGATAATGCTAGAGACCACATACATCATGTGTTGCTATGAACTGTCTTACAACTTGTCAAACACTTCCTTGGCCAGCCAGATCGCCAGATCTCTCTCCCATCAAGCGTGTCTGGGATATGATGGGAAGGCAACTGCATCTACCAGGGAATGTTGATTACCTAGCCCAACATTTGGAGCAAACTTGGCAAGAAATACCGCAGGAGGTCACCCAGGAGCTTTATCAGTCTATGCCACGCCATGTGGCAGCTTGCATCCAGGCTAGAGGTGGATCAACACCTTATTGAGTTCATTACTCTGTAGCTATGTAGCTCTGAAATTTTAATCATTTTCTATTCTGCACATAATCTTTTTATCCACCTAATTTTGTCTCATTCTTGGTGCTCCTTCTTTAGACGATCCCTCCTTGGTACATCAGTTTTTTTTTTTTTTTTTTTTTTTTTTTTTTTTTTTTTATTATTATTATATAGAGTGTATATGTATAACATACACTGTGTATAACATACTCGAAATATTCAAATAGTTTTTGTTTAGCATGGCTTTTGTTACTCTTATTATTACATATTGCATAATATTTTTATTGCTTGTGCTTTGCTACAGAATGTTTTATAATTATGAAGTCTCACATTTGATATTTTTTTCTTTCAGCTCATGTTTTATGTGGATTTTTTAACAGGTATGATTTGCATGTACCGTTATTTAAATATGTATGATATTTGTTCTTAAAGCAAAAGCTGTATAAATAATTAAGCAATTATGTAATTGAAGAGTTAAATCTGATTTAATATTAATGGATTAATTCTGTATTTAATACTCTTTTTTATTATTTTGTTTACTAAAATTTTATGAATTTTGGCACAGATAAAGTTGATGAGAAAATATGTTTTAATATGCCCAGTGAATTAAAATGTAACATTATGTTATAAAATTTTCATCCAGAATAATAAAATATTGCTGTTATTTAAAATGCATGTGAGAACTTTATAGATACTTACATTGTATAAAATATTAAAAAATTGGAATTTTAACAGCAGAAATTTTGTATCAATTTTTCATTGTATCAGTCAAATAGCAGTCTGTTGTTTCTCTTTATTCTTTGTTATTATTTCTTTTTTGCACACTGTGGCCCTTCTAATATCCTCACATTAAAAAAAATTTGAAATAAATATTTGCTTTAAAGCCAAACCTTGTTTATTTTATGTAGGTTTAATAGTGCGATTAGATACTGCAAGATATAAACATAATCATTGGCTTAAATGATGATATTTTTTTTTCATATTTTGGCTATTATCTCTTCAATTAATCTTTTCTTATTATGATTTTAAGTTTTGTATTTATCTTGTAATGTGTTAAGGCAACTGAATAATGGTAGTTCGATATGGCTTGGGTTCAATTCCAGGCAAATGAGCTGGTTGCATTGTTGATTTTTGTGGTTTATTCCATGTATAATGTGAATATGAGTCAGTTTCCTCTAGAAAATCCTTCACAAAGGCATTGCTTCTCTTATACAGAAAGTCCTCGTGACTTTGTGATATTCAAATAAACAACCGACATGGAAGTCCTTTTAGGAAAGACTGACATTTTCTTGGGTAAGTACATGAGTGGGATAAGATGTAAAGAAAGAACCCAAACTAAATTGCAAATTATGACATAGTTTTGGTTTCTTATATTTGAATATGAAGGTGGTATGCAACAAAAAACTGATGTTTCAAGATATAGTAGAATGTTTTATTGCAAATGAGAGTACATATGAATACTTTCATCTCTTTTATTGATTCAGACAATTTGATTTTTCAAATAAAACAGTCTGAAAAACTAGCAAGATAAAAGGCTTCTTTACCATACAAAAACCGAATGTTTATGAATGAATGAAATGAATTTCAAGATCTTATTTTGTTAAAATGGATGATCTTAAAGAGACGTATTTTGAGTGGTTGGATATTGTCAATTTGGAAATGGAATTGACAGAATTTCAAGAAAACTCTGTGTGGATGAGCAAATTTGTCAAACTTGGTGAAGCATTAAAAGTTGTGAGTGGAGTGTGCAGATTCCAAATATTGCATCCAAAATCAGGAAACTTAAACTTACAATGTTTGGGTCCTCATATATTTTTGAGTATGTGTTTTCAGCAGTGACCTCTATAAAGTCAACTCTAAGAGCTTGCTTTGATTCAGATTTAAGTGAATCTTGTGTGTTAATAAACACAACTAGTATGGTGTGGTGACCTGCCTACTACAACTCAATGCTGCCAGTCTGGTAACTCGTAGCAAGGAAAAACAAAATAATGTTTATTCTATTGTTAATATAAATTCAAAGAAGACTTGATATGATTAAAAATTGAATAAACATTATTTTGTTTTTTTGTGTCTATGGGTTACCAGACTGGCAGCATTGAATTGTAGTAGGCAGGTCGCCACAACTAGTAATGACCCAAATATAAATCACATGGCTAATACGATTCAGCAATAGGTATCACATTAAATGGGATTAAATGCATGTAGTTTTTTAATGTAATATTGTAGTATTTGTTTATAATATTAAATAATGTATTCTGAAAAGTGAAAAGTATATTAAGTGAAGTGTCTTAAAGAGGACACAATTTTTAAATGAAAAAAAATAAAGGCAATTAATAGTATATTTTATCAATTAATAGTATATCATATTGATACATATAATTTTTCATACTATAAAAAAATTAAAAACATTTAACATTAATTACCTTTATTTTATTTTTCACTTAGAATAAGGGCGCTTTAGAACCAAATATTGCATCCAAAATCAGACATCCTTTCATTCGCAAAGTGGGGGGTAAAGTAAAAGGGGTGGGAGACCCTGAGACTGCACCTTGGTGTGTGTTCTGCCTTGGAATTTCATCTGGGGCAGAAGCATAACAATTAGCAAGGCCTGGCGATACCTGATATGCTTAACCTGGATGCACAGGTTCTGTCCTTGCTTCAACCTGTACCGAGACATGGCTGCTGAGATAGGATAGTGGTTAGTGATGCTGACTGTCACATTGATGGGCCCTGGCTCGAATCTTGGAGAAGGCATGGATGTTTGTAAATATATGGTGTCTGTGTATCAAGGTGATGCTCATAATACATGGCAAACTGAAACCCTCCCAAGAGGTTGGTGGTCTAACCATCCCCAGGGTCAGAATTCCAACTGGGACAAAAGCTTAGCAGTTAGCCACATCTGGATACACCTAATATGCCTACGTAGATGCACAGGCACTGGACTTGCTTCAACCTGCCCCTGTACCTAGACAGGGAGATAAAAAAGTATAACAAAATATAATTACTGACTTTATCCAAATGTGCTACTCTTCCTTACTGGTCCAACCACATATGACTATATCAGCTTCATATACCTAATGGATCATGAACATGCTATCAGCATTAACATGAGTGGCTCAAAGATGGAAACAGGTGTAACTAACATGCTCTGTTCCCTAAGAATAAATTAATAAATACTCTTACTGTGCTGAACTGTAAAATATATTTAAAAATTTTAATTGATTAATTTACTGTTACCGAGCATGTAGCTGACTTAGGCTTCACTACTAAGGCCAGAAGTGATGGCCATTTTATTATGAAAGCACCTAATAGGTGGGTCACTGTCTGTAGAAAAATATCCGCTGGCCATGTGAATCCACAGTGGCAACCATGTGTGACAGATCAAATATGGGAAGACTTGCCTGTAAATACTTTCTGAATGTACCTCCAGAATTAAAACACTGTGCTTATGTATCATAGAACATTTTTTAACTTCTGCATATCTTTACAGGTTTAGACAAAGACAGTAGTAAAACAGAAGAGAAACATGCCAAATTGAAACATGAAATTAATAAAAAAACAACCTTGTGTTTGCGATAGATTTAGTCAAAAACTCAATCGATTTGGAGGGCAAGCATGTACAGGCGACGGGCACCTGGCATCTACCAAGATGGGGACACCTGGTATCTACCAAAGATAAACAAGTGCATGTTCCCCTCATCCTCCACTATCCAGTACTTATTGAAGAATTTAGGTAAAATACATGACCATACAAGGGCTAGGTGGCTGTACAGTAGCTACAGATTTGGACACATATTGCAATGCCAGAATCTAAAACAGAGAACATAAAGTTTAAAAGTAATGCAATAAATAAATAATACAATATAGAAGTGCATAAATAGTAAAATAAATTAGCAGTACAATGAAAAAGTAGGACAATATAAAACTTTGTTTTGTAGATAGGTGATGGAGGGTGGAGGGGTGGACACCTGGCCTCTAATGGAGGTAAGCAAGTATATATGTCCGTCTTGCTCTGACTCGAAACAACAACTCCCTGGAGCTCATGGGAGCCCCCTTCAGGAGTTTAGACAAATACAAATGCAGGTTTAGTTTAAGTTCGTGGTTTACCATTTATTGTGTTTCGCATGATTACATTATACTGCACTAAATGTTCAATGTAGCTCTGCACCACAGAATATATGCTGTTTTGTTGACTAAAGTGGAGAGATGGCTCAGGAAGAGAAAGTCTTATATTGCCTGACATATGTCCTGCCCCAGGGCTGTAATTGTGATAATAGTCTGACATACCATATCCACAGTCACACAGTTTTATACACTGGTTATCATAAATTAAGGAAAAATCACGATTACTGAAAAAAATACATATAGAATTTTATGAAACTTACCCACAATATACAACACATAGTACAGTATCAAATAACATAAAAAGAAATTACATGACAATTATGGTAGTATAGAAATTTGCACACATATAAAATGAACAAATCGAAGATGTTAGTTTGTTATAGTAAAAGTACCTTCAATATGGAATATAATCACCTCTAGAAGCAATACAGCACATTCAGCGATGTGTGATGCTTTCAATTATGCGGTCTCTAAGTTCCATAGGAAGTGAGAGCCATTTCCCTTGCAAAGGAGTTGCAAGCGTGGCAAGGGTCTAAGGGGGCTGATTGAGAGCAGCTAGATGACTCCCTAAAGCATCTCAAACGTGCTCAATAGGATTTCAAGTCTGGGAATCGAGCTGGCCAATCCATGCGCATAATTGTTTCCTGTTGAAGATAATCATATGATGCGAGCCCTGTGTGCTCCTGCATTGTCGTCCTGTAACAAGGGAAGCATCACCTATTGCCCTGGCATATGGGTGCACGTAAACATCAAGGATGTCATCTCTATAAACATGAGCATTCACGGTTCCCCTTGGGAAAGCATGGAGGTCTGTACGTCCACCCAAGAGATGCCACTCCCAAACACAGACACTGCCTCTTCTGTATGCATCTCTTTCACGGATGTTTGATGGATGATAACGGGTTCCAGGTTCTCTTCATATCTAATAACGCCTACGATCGCATTCTAGACTAAACCTGGACTCATCCGTAAAGAGAATAGTCCTCCATTGCTCAGGCATCGAGTGGACATGTTGTCCTGCCCACTGCAAACGGTCCCTGCTATGGCGTGACTTGAGCGGCACGTAAATGGTTGTTTGCCTCGCATACAGACCACCTTTGTGAAGCCTTCTACGCACAGTTGACGTTGACACGAACCTTCTGGTGGCTGCAGCAAGGGAGGCTCTAAGAACAGTCGGAGTAGCAGTTCTATTCCTGCATGCACATAATGTCAAATATCGGTCATCGGCCGCTCGTTGTAGCAGTTGCCCGTCCTTGGCTGAATCTCCTAGATGCCGAATTTGTGGTTTGAAATTGCCTCCAAAGTCTATGAACCACAGCAGGATTTCCATTTAGCCATCTGGCCACTTCTGTTTGACTTTGTCCTGCCTCTAGTCTCTCAATGGCTTTCTGTCGTAGTTCTGCAGGCAAATGATGCCTGAAGATCATTGTTACGAATCGGCTATCTCCGATTTCTGATGTCACTATCACAGTGAAATATGTGGGCTTGCTCTCAAACATGGACTTTAATGCTCCTCGCAGATGACGTATTCCAAGTGCAGCGCCACTAATTTGCATATTGGAGTTTTACTCAGTTACTCTTACTTGGCAACATATTCAAATTTTACATGGTTTGGCTTATTTTTGAGGGAGTTATGGCTATTTTTGTGATTTTCCCTTAATTTAAGATAACCAGTGTATAATAAAGCGTCTATGAGTGTCCACATTACCGAAGCACTGACGTAAGCGAGTGGTGTTGGTGAAAGGGCATTGATGGATGTAGTAGTGTGTGGTGAAAGGGATTGATTGATGGATGTAGTAGTGTGGAGAGCCTTCTGCTACGCGGACACATGTTCCTGTTTTGTAAATACCAAAGCAAAGGGTTCCGTAAATACCAAAGCAAAAATAAAAAGAAACAGTCCGTGGCCCATAACAAAGTTGGTGATCTGTGGGATGGACACTTGTCTTTGAAGGTTAAGGGAAGAAATCTTATTTACGTCTCCTGGTATCATTCAAGTCCCATTCCTGCTGCCATTTCAGGGTGGCAAATTAAGGGTACAGATTCCTCTTCATCAGCAGTAAAGAAATCTGCAAGATTGGAAAGCAGTGGGCATGATGGTCATATTTATATCCTACAGCAGTAAACTGAACAAGAACTCTTCAATAGTTAATCATAGTTGGAAATGTAATCATAATTTTGACTGTCTTGGATTAAGTATTGAAAAGTGATGCATGTGACATTAAGAATAGTTTTATATTTGATTCTTGATGGAATGGGTTTATACAAAGTTCATCTTAATTGATATATGTTCTAAAATAGCTTTATCACATTTTTGCAGTTTCTTTCTATGTGCAACATTATAAAATAAATATTTTTCTTTCACAAGAATTTAAAAATTTCTATGAAGTTATTTAATTGCTAATGTAGTTAAACGTATTCTAAATATATTTCTTTTAAACTTTTGTAGCTATCATCAAGCGACCATGTTTGAAAATGACAGGCATTTTTCCCATCTTTCTTCTTTGGAGAGAGAAATGACATTTAGGACAGAAATGGTACTATGTACTACGTCATCTTCTTCATTTTATGTTTTTTATGTAGTGAAACATTTTATTCCTTTTTTTTTTCTTTGCAGTAGTTATATAGTTTTATTTTAAAAAATTAAATTCTTATTTAATTTGCAAATACTTTGTAATTTAAATTTAAATAAATGTTTTAGGGTCTATATTACTTTTATTATAAAGCTCTGACAGAAGCTCCATCATTTTTAGAAGGAATGCATGCAATCAGGAACGATAATCTCACAGAATATCCTTCTGTTATAAATACTTTAGAGCGATTTACATTATATCCTGAAGTAAGTACAATTGTTTTAAACATTTCATTTTTTATGGTAAACATATATGTATTCATTAGTAATAGTGCACATTTTTGTGAAAAATTTAGGTCATCATAAGCGGGTATTAATAGTTTTAATTTTATAGGTAGTATTAGCTGCCAGTTATAGAAATATAATAGCTATAGCTAATTTTTTTAATGTGAGTCTTAAAGAATGCTGGCAAGTTCTGAGAGGTGATGATCTTCCACCCATTGAAAGTTGTGAAGGTTTGTATTTTATACTTCCACATCTTTTTTT